ATACCCATTCATTGAAACTAGATTTAATGACGTGTTTCGCCTTTTTAAGCTTCAGCAGATCCAAAGACGAAAGAAAGAAATGTGTGTATTTGCGTGTATATTTAAATAATAAATCATTGGTACATTTTTTTAACCTACAGTAGCCGTGTTTTTGCATTTGACAAGGTGATGACAGATTTAATGTTGTTCTGCAGAGACTTTATCTCTAAAACATAATTGAAGAAAATCACGTGTGCGCTTTTTTAATATAATTTTTAAGTACTCAGTAATCTTAAAAACTTAAAAAAATATTCTCCGTAATCTAATGTTTTATTGAATTTTAGAAATGTTGGCTTTAAATTTACTATAATTATCGCTCTTATTTTCGGATAATGTCGTGTAGGGTCGATTGTACTTACAAAAATCGGCACTAATAAATAATTCAAAATTCTTTTAAAAGTATTGGTGTTTCATGATTTGTATTAAACTTTTCTATTTATGATTAGTAAATATAGTTTAGACTTAATAATAATATTACCAAAATGATCGTTGGCGATGATTGACTGATAGGTGGGCGATGATCGACAGTTGGGTGGGCGATGATCGACTGATAGGTGGGCGATGATTGACTGATAGGTGGGCGATGATCCACTGATAGGTGGGCGATGATCGACAGTTGGGTGGGCGATGATTGACTGATAGGTGGGCGATGATTGACTGATAGGTGGGCGATGATCGACTGATAGGTGGGCGATGATCGACTGATGGGTGGGCGATGATCCACTGATAGGTGGGCGATGATCCACTGATAGGTGGGCGATGATCGACTGTTGGGTGGGCGATGATCCACTGATAGGTGGGCGATGATCCACTGTTAGGTGGGCGATGATCGACTGATAGGTGGGCGATGATCCACTGATAGGTGGGCGATGATCGACTGATAGGTGGGCGATGATCCACTGATAGGTGGGCGATGATCCACTGTTAGGTGGGCGATGATCGCCTGTTGGGTGGGCGATGATTGACTGAAAAAGGCTGAAATTAATTTAAAATTTAAAACATTATAAATTATTATAATTAAAATAAAAAAAATGAAACAATTCTCTTAAAATTCATTATTTATCGAAGTTTTTTCTTAAGACAATAGTGAATTTAATATATCTAATTTATCAAAGCAGTTAAAACTTTTCTAATGAATGCGATAGTTTTATTGCATTTTTTATTTTACGATTTGGAATAGAGTTTCGGTAAATTCGTAACTGTTTTTTTTTTTGTTTTTTTTTAATTATGATTTACAATTTCCAAGGTGTCCTGTTTTAACTAATATAAAAAATATTCGGACCAAAATTTAATCTCAAAATTTCATAAAATTAAGTTGGGGGTAGGAGCTGTAAAAATAAAATTATTTTTGGCAAGATTTTCTGATTTTGTTTCAGAAATAATTTCATTCGTTTGTGAATAATTCGTGAAAGTCTCCTTAAAATTCAACAATTATTTGATTTTTGCAAGAATTTAAAAATCAATGTGTCTTTTAACGCCAAAAAAGACGCTAAATTTGCCATCGTAATCCTTGCTCCGTCCGATGACGTAAGAAACAAGATTTTTAACCAAACTTTCGAACCTGCTAGAAAGGATTAAAAAAAAAAATTAATAAAATAATAATAAATACTTTGTTCTTTCCTCTTAATAATAACATAAACATCTTTGAAGATAAATCTTTGTTTTTTTTTCAAGTTTGGGGCCTTCTTTTTTAGCAAAAATTGGAGGCATTTGTCTATCTATCTATCTATCTATCTATGTGTGTGTGTGTGTGTTGTGTGTGTATGTGTGTGTGTATGTGTGTGTGTGTGTGTGTGCGTGCGCTCACCTGTTACTATATTAGGTATATAATCTTTTAGTACAGTTTGACACCTTTTCAATCCTTTAGGGCCGCCTACGTCATATAAGACCGCCTAAGTTTTTATTGGCATCGATTTGACGATCGTCTGGTACTTGGCAATTATTATAAACTGATTTTCAGGACAATCAGACCTTCCCAAATAAATGTCATTGATCCTGTTACAAGGTCAGGCCTTTATTTTCCCATAGCTTCTTTTGAATAAAAGGAATAAGTTATCATCGAACGGAAATACGTTTTATTGTCATTTATTTCCACGTAATAAACTTTCCAGATGTTTTTGACACAATACTTATGATTATAGTTGATCCACCGGCTTTCGATAAAGAACTTAGACACTTGATACATCCTTTTGTTGCTGAAGGAGAGTAATGAGGACGGATGCACAAGTTCAATCCTCTGTTTGGATAAAGAGAAAATAAAACCCACACGTTATTTTGTTAACCGGAAATGCAACTACCAAAAAATTCAATGGAATATTTCTCACGCTGCAAGAACAAAGAATGCGGAAACCAATGTCAACCACAGATCGACCTAGCCTAAGAGAATTAAGACTTTCCTGAATAATACCCCATTGTCGTCTGGTTTATTCACGTCAACGATTGATCCCACTAATAATTTCATTCATTTGTGACTTCGGTTCAAAATACCGAACTTGAACAGATGTAGAGAGTAAGACCACTTTGGTCAAAATGTTCAAAATTTTCCTGTGGCGCTTATCGAAATATTTTAATGAAAGAGAATTTTAAGTTTGGGGTTTTCGCGTGGGAAATATGCGTCTATGTGACAGTTTTCAATTTTATTTATTTTCAGTCAGACTAATGTTTTCCATTTTCGTCGTTATCACAACGTTTCGGCTATTGTACCCTCCGGTCTTCCTCAGGTGTCTATCGACCCGTGTAACCTGAGAATTTCCAAACAAAATGATTTAATCTACAGGAATAGTTTGTTCTCGTTGTACTCTCCTTGTCTCGGAATATCTCGTCTCGCTCTTTTTTTTAATACGACTCAATTTTTGTAGTTTCCACTGAATCTTTACTACCCGATACTGGGATTGAAATCACAATGACACCAAATTAACAGACCGACGCCTTAATATATGAGAATTTTTGTCTATATTTCTGAGATGAGGTATTATATAAACTATTTATATTATTCGGACTATTGCCTCATCTTTGTCGCCATATTTATTACAACGTTTCGGCCCTTCAGTATCTGCTTATATTTCTGAGATGAGGTATTATGTACACTATTTACATTATTCGGACTATTTTCTCCATCTTTGTTGCAATATTTATTAAAACGTTTCGGCCGTTGAACGCTCCGGCCTTCTTCAGGTGGTTGGAATGTCGAACTGAACCCTTTATTTCGCTCACTGGGTTAGACTGTTCTAGTTCCTCAAGGACACATGGCACAGTGGATAAAGACGTTAGTTAGATCCAGTTACAGGACCCAAAGAGTGTGAGTTCAAAACCCGGTTAAGGCAGTGGAGAACTTGGAGAGGGGAATTAACAGGAGATAACTGATAACTGACATCCATTAAACATGGCACGTGGGATTAGAACAGTCTACCCCAGTGAGTGAAATAAAGGGTTCAGTTCGACATTCCAAACATCTGAAGAAGGCCGGAGCGTACAACGCTGAAACGTTGTGATAAATATAAGAGTTTTTTTTAACTACTTTTTTTTACAGTCCGACTAATGTCTAGATTTTTATCGTTATTATTATCACGTTTCGACCATTGTGAACTCTGTGCTTCTTCAGGGACCTAGTCATTCGGTTAAACTTCAAGGGATTTCGAACTAAAGCTTTTATCTAATCTATGCACATTATCGTTTTCATTCCACTGTTCATCTCTAGGGATATCTCGTCTTTTTCTTATTTAGTGCTGTTCAGTTAATTGTCGTCCTGTTTCCTCAAAATCCATTCACTCACTGCCCGGGCCAGGGATTGAACTAACAATGACGATGTCAGTAAAAACCCCGAACCAACGTTTTAATCCTGTGAGCTATTGTAGGCAGCAGAAGGTTCAATCCAAAAATTCCCTGAAAGTTAAAAATGAACGACAAACACCTGAAGAAGGCCGGAGAGAACAACGGCCGAAACGTTATGATGATAACAACAAAGATGAGAACATTTGCGCGACTTTAATATTTTTTTTATATTAAAGTTCTCCCAGTCCAAGGTTTAAGAGCACCTCCCCGTACGATCACCAAAATTAAGCAACATCGAACCTGGCCAGATCCTAGATGGGTGACCGTTTGAAAATATCAGGTGTTGTAAGCTTGGACGTGTGGGTGGTGTAATGTATAATGGCTTGGAATTGTTAATCGGAGGACCGAGTTTCAATTCCCGTTGGGTTCGTTGTATTATATTCACTTACGTGCAAATACCCTTGGGAATAATATAAAACCACCTCTTCTCCCCCAGCTATGGGTTAATTAGTAAAGATTGTATCACTAAACCATTATCATCTTATTTATTATATTTCTTATAATCTAAAAATATTTTCTGGCTTTAAAAAAGAAAAACTCAATCAATTAAAAAACATGGTAGACAGTTACTGAAAATGGTTATGATGAAGGAGTGTGATATGGATGAAAGAGCAGGGGGGTAGGAAGTGAAGATTATGAGGATAAGGAGGATAGATAACGGGTGACACTTGACGAAAAGAATGAGTAATAACAAATCCTCATCTGAGAAAATCAGAAAGAAGTTTTCTTTATATTAACGGGGGCCATTTTCCAAAAGCTAGACATGATTGCCTCGTCAATACTCTCGATTAGGAACGGTTGAATGCCACTAGGTGTGGATATTGACGTTTAGCGCGATTTGAAAGCAACACAAAAGATGAAAATCTATAGATTATGAGGCTATCAAGCGAAACAGTTTAATTGGAAACGAATGGGAGCCGTTTTAGATGAGCTTATGAATAAAGGCGGCACATTAGAAAATAAGTTAGTATTATTTTTACATTGTATTCTGTGTGTAGGTATTTTAAAAGTACAAAACTTGTCCGGACTTTTGATGTTTTTCTTCATGTGGTTATTGCCGTGGCTATCTAGCATACTTGACATTTAATCTCGCAGGAAAGATAGCTTCTACACTTATTATAAGATCCTTTTTTCTTCAAAACGTTGTCCGGATTTTTGAAGTCAATCCTCGTGTTGCTTTTATAGCTACCATAACGTTTCGGCCGTTCCATTCTCCAGCCTTCTTGACGTCTACTCTCGTAGGAGAGATAGCTTCTACACTTATACGATCCCTTTTTCTTCAAAGCGTTGTCCGGATTCTTGAAGTCAATCCTCGTGTTGCTTTTATAGCTATCATAACGTTTCGGCCGTTCCATTCTCCAGCCTTCTCCACGTTGGATCTACGATTATAAGTAGAATCATTATCATTCTAAGCCTTCTTAGCGTCTCTGATATTCTGTTCACATCTATCTATCTATCTATCTATCTATCTATCTATCTATCTATCTATCTATCTATCTATCTCAATCTGTTCACATCTGTCTATCTATCTACCTATCTATCTATCTATTTATTTCAGTCTGTTCGCATCTATCACATTTTGTTCACATCTATCATATTCTATTCATATATATATATATATATATATATATATATATATATATATAAAAAACTATTACATTCTGTTCACATCTATCTATCTATCTATCTATCTATCTATCTATTTATGGAATGGTTTTTATGCTTATTCTGTTATTATGCTTCGAATGATGATGTTTTTTCGAGAAGACCTTTTGCCACCCACAAGAAGCACTTTTGAAAAGCACCCTCTTGTGTCATTATTTTCATGCTGTTTAATTTCATTTTATTCTGTCCCCCCCCTTTTATTTATCGTCAACCCCGAACAAGAAGCGCGTCATCTGGAAGCGATGAAGACTTCTCAAAAAACAAATATTCGCTAACCACGTGTGTCGTTGCTTAACAAAGAAATTCAAACGGAAACTCGATCCTCCCTTGTAGTAACACAAATATGCAACGGATAATGTTACGAGTTTGTTCGGGTCAGGGACACGACCCAATAAATGTTGTTGTCCAGTCGTGAGAAACTGGCTTTGCATTGTTGTTGTTGTTGTTGTTGTTGTTGGTTTTCTTCTTCTTCTTCTTCTTCTTCTTCTTCTTCTTCTTCTTCTTCTTTCAGTTGAAATGTTTACTGGGATGGCGTCATCGGATATCCTGAAGGACAATTTTAACCGCAACTCCCCGAAATGTCTTATAGAATGCGATTTCTGCTGTGATTACACAATTACAACATAATTCTGCTCTGTATTACATGCCTAGTACCATATTCAGGACAACTTAAATACAGTGGTCCCGCCCTAAAAAAAAAAAATTTAAATGTTAATCTACAAAAAATATTTTTAAAAAAAAATATTTTTTGTAGATTAACATTTAAATTCTTCGTGGCACTTTTCAGAATCGATAAATAATGATTAGTTATCGATTCAGAAAAGAACCCCTCTTCATAATGGCGACACTAAAATCAATCCTCGCTCCCCACAGACGATCAAGGCTCTCCACATGTTCCTTTTATTTATTATTTGTGGTGTGCTTTGTTGAATGATCTAATGCCTTCTGTCGCAGTTCTGAATTCAGAAATCTCCTTCTTGTGGGTTTTTACCAATCAAGTCTAGATTGCTATAGTCTACCTTACTATTTTATCTATAGCTTCGGTAGGGATAACAAATACATTTATACATGTTTTATCTGCGGGGTGAACATGACAGCCTCTACTGAAATTTGAACTCGGCCTGCCAAATTACCGCTCCGTTATCCGTTACTCGACCCAGGCGTCGATTCAGCTGATTTGTGAAACATTTCAAATGATTCATTTCTTACTATATATACTGACTGCGAAATAAAAGTTACAGATGTTTGAAATTTATCTCTTGGCGGAGAAGGAAATCTGAAATGTGTTTTTGTTATTTTTGTGTTCGACAGAGAGCGCCGTATTCTACAAAGAATCGAAAATTGCAAATTATTCATTATATCATATTTATGTATTTTACACAAAATTAGAGCCGATTATCTAATATTTCAAGCTCAGTTTTGGTTTATAGTTCATAACCATGCAATGAGATGAGATAAGATAAACCGTAGATTTGCCTGCGGAATATCATTACATGATTGTTATATAATCACAGTGCAATCATTAAGGTTTTTTGTCAAAAGTATTTTATTATTGCTTGCATATTAATTTAAAATAATCCTTTTTACAGGCTTTATTTTTGAAATATAATAAGATTATTCTAAATTTGAGAATTTCGCAAATTGCCCATCAAAATGACTATTGTTCTTAGATTGTGTTGTGGTACGATCCACTTAATGTACATAGTGGAGTACCGACCATATAAATATGGGTTGGTACCGGGAAGACGGGGGAAGAAGTAAGAAGAGATCCAATCGAGAGACTCTGCCCGACTGCGATTAAGTCAACCCATTCTGCAGGAACAGTCTTCCCAAGAATATACCAAAACTAACTGTAAATATTGTGTACCTTTTTCCTTGTTTCAATACATTTTGTTTACGTACATTTTGTGTTGTATTATTATTATTCCATGCTTATCCAAGCTTCAACAGATTGCTTTCTTCTAA